GCTCACATGTGAGGGGCGAGGGAGGGAGCGGCTGGGCACGCCGGCTGGAAAGGGAAGTGAAATTGCGGCAGGCGTGGTGGGCAGCAACTGGTTTTGATCGGGACTTTCACTCACCCAGAGCCCCGCGGTGCCCAGCAGGGAGGGCTGAGACGGTGCTGGGGCCGCTTCAGTGCTGCGCTGGTGCAAGCCACCCTCAGGCAACGCTGCTGGCAGGGAGGGGGACACGGACAGGGTGCCGGGAGGACCCTGTCGTGGGGCAGCTCCTGCCCTGTGGGGCATGCGGTGCTGGAGAGCCGCTCTTGGGATGCAACCTAGTGAGGGGAGATGGTGCCTACATCCCACACAGGGATTCAGAGGGTGGGGTGAGGGGGCTATGGGCTCAGCTTGCCCAAAAGGCATTGGAGAGAGGCAGGCACATCCAGGGACCAAGTCCTCTGGCAGGTCTCAGAGGAGCTCCGTTGCCCAGTGGGGACACCTGGTACTCTGTCACCTCAAGCCAGAGTGTCCTCTGGCTTTTCTCCTCCTCTCCTCCCAGCCTCTGTCCAGGACAGCGAGTGACAGAGACCTCACTGGAAAGAGCCTGGAGGCCATAGCTGCTGCAAGGATGGGACTCCAGCAGTAAAGCCCCATCAGGGCTCTCTTGGCCAGGGCAGGTCTCCTGCGATTCTTCCTTCAGCTGAGAGCAAGCCAGCAACCATGGCTGGTCCCTTTCTTTCCTACGGGTTGAAGAAAAAGGCGATTCGACTTTTGTTTGGTAAGGGTGGAGAAGAGCCACGTACAGCACTGAAATCCTTCACTTATCCACTTCAGATCTCAAGCATCAGGCTTTGACCTTGCGGGTACTGGCAACAGGACATTTCTCCTGTTCCTGATCAGGAACACCTAAGATCATTAAGGGTGTTTTTAGTCCCTTCCAAGGGTATGGGGACTTGACTTTCTTGGTGTGACGTGCTTTGCCCATGCCCTGGGTGGAGCACAACCCGATCTGAACTCTAGAGTGTAAGACGTGGTGCCAAGGGGCTGGGATGGTCCTTGCCATGGGTCTCTGTCTGGGAGGGAGAGGATGGAGAAAGCAGGGTGATGAAGAGCACTGTCATTAGTAGGGATGGAGAACACACACCTGTTGGTCTGCCTGCACAGCAATCGCTAACAGGCCATGTCCTGGGGAGGTGGGAACTTTAAACAGGGGAAACCTCAGTGTCCCTGCACTCTTTTCTCCTCTGGTCCTTTTCCATGTTTTCCATCCAAACCAAATCCGTGGCCCTGAGATGGGTTCTGGTAAAGACCTGGGCACTGGAAAGCCTCCTGTAGGCACTGGAGGATGCCAAGGAGACTTTTTGCTGGCCGGCGAGGGTGGGTGCGGGCTGGGGGACATCACTGGGCTAGGAGCAGCCTGCAGGTGGGCTGGGGAAGCGTGAGGGTCGAGGAGGTGACACCATCAGGCTGGGGCACCATGCTGCTGGGCACGGGGTGCTGCGTGGCTGGGGCACACCAGGGGCTGCGGGGATTTCGGGAGCACGCGTTGGAGAAGAGGGGCAGTCTGAGGGCGCATTGCACTGGCAGGCAGGGGTAGGGCTCGGGCTCTCGCTCTCCTCCTCCGCAGTGAAGATCCGCCCCGGGGGCAAGCGCAGACCGTCAGGAGCCCCAGGGGACCAGGCGCAGCTTGACAGACTGTATCTCCCTCTGCCACGGGTCCCGGGGCGCTGCGATTTCACACTCGGGCGGCCCCTGAGCCGCCGTGCCATGCGGGAGCTGGGCTCCC